TTATTATTATTACTATTATTATTAGTATTAGTATTTTATTTTATTTCAATTATTAAACTGTTTTTATCTCAACCCATGAGTTTTCTCACTTCTACTCTTCCGATTCTCTCCCGCATCCCACTGGGGCAGGGGGAGTGAGCAAGCGGCTGTGTGGTGCTCAGTTGCTGGCTGGGGTTAAACCACAACAATATCTGAGAGCCTTACCTCTCAGTATGAGATGAATAAAACAAAAGTGTCATCTAAGCCTGATGCAAGGGATAAAAATGGGATATTCAATAGTGTAATTGTGACTTATATTCCCAATTTTCATTGTTTGCTTTATGACTTCGAGGAAAGGCTGGAGTAGAGGACAAAGGAGAGCTTGGAAAAAACAAAGAGAATCTTGTGGATGTTCCTGGGAAGTCCCCCCTCCCGTTTTCCAAATAAATGAAGAGCACCGGCACAGGGGAAAGTTTCCTGGCTTTTGTTTGGGACCAAAACAGGTGGGGGAAAGGAAGTGGCTGTCAAGCCTCTGTAACTGATGAGAGGCCTGTAGGAAATATGCTTATGTGGTTTTGAGAATTGAGGGCAAGTGTTTTGTGTTTGATGATAAAAAGAAGGTGGAGTCAGTAGAGGAATACACATGGAGGGATCAGAAGGTCAACATTTATTAGAATTTAGTTGATTCAATAAAGTTTTGTAGTCAGGAAATTACAGTGGGCCTTTAGTTCACTTCATTTTTGTGCTTGATGGTGTCAAGTCTTGCAGACTGGCTGTTTTAGTATCTCACAGAAGTCACCTTTTCTATTCATTCACAAATAAAACATTCAGATTCCTGTGGGTTTTGCTTCTTCGTTGTCACAGCACCTTTTCCTCTGCCCTTGATAATGGATTCTGGCCTGTCCAACATGCTTCTGTAAATGTTACCAGCCAAATCGGTCCGAAATGAAAATTCAGGTATTTGAGTATGGCATCTGGGGAACACTGCAAGAAGTTTCATAGAGTGTGTTTCAGAAACACTACAGAGGAGGTAAAACGTGGTAGATACAACTAATATTCATAGCGTAACAATGTAGGTATGAATGTATATATGCACACATATATGTACATATTCTATATGTGTATACGCACATATATATGCTTTTCCTTCACTCAAAGATTTTAATTTTTCTCAGTATCCATCCACCTCTGTCTCTTTCCCAGTCCCCTCTGCCCAGCACCACCCAGCTTTATCCATCTGGCTTTATTTTTTGTGGTTCCAACAATACGACATGGTAGATCAAATGAGAGAAGCTAGTTTGCTGATGGACTAGATGATCGTTGTAGATCCCTTCCAACTATTCTAGTCACCCTAGTTTGCTGATGGACTAGATGATCGTTGTAGATCCCTTCCAACTGAAATATTCTATTCTAGTCACCTCTTTGTACATCACCACTTGCAGAGTAAGGGGTGACAATTTTATAACGTTGGAAGTGGAAGTGCTCCTGCTGGTATAGCACAAAGACTGTGCCTATAAGTGTAATTTGAAAGGAATTATATGACTATAATTTTAAAATTAGCTATATGTCTGGCTATACTCTAAGGCTTCAGTAGGCTCCATCCTGATTGTAATTGCTGTTCCACATTGTCAGTGTATTATTAACTGAAATGACTTAAGCTTGTAGCTAGGCACCGCTTCGAGGGGTTGAAGTGTTCAAGGCCAGATTGGACGGGGCTTTGAGCAACCTGGTCTAGTGGAAGGTGTCCCTGCCCATGGCAGGGAGGCTGGACTAAATGATCTTTAAGGTCCCTTCCAACCCAAACCCTTCTGTGATTCTGTGAGATTAGCAAAGGTTACAATGGCTAAAACCTCAGACTTGTTACAATTGTAAATAAATAGAGAGTGAGGTCACGGGGTGAACAAAAATGACCTTACTGGAACAGATACTGGTGCCTGCTTATAGTGCACACCCAGGCTCTGTAAGGAGCCCTCGCTGATACCAGACTGTGGAATCTGCTCTCAAAAGTGAATGAGGAAATTATTCGCTGTGACTGATAAGTAGTTAGTATCTTGTCTGTGTTCCTAGGTCTTGTATCAGTGCTCTCTAGTAAAATTGCTAAAAAGGACTGGGTAGGATCTTACAGTGTTAACAAGGCGGTACTTCTTAGAAATAATACTGAATTCCTTTTTTTTTTTTATTCTGGTTAACAATTAATGTGCTCTAGGTCAACTGAACCAGTAGAAGCAAGGACTGAGGTTATGCTTTTGTCATCTGACTTTTAAGAGAACACAAGACTTTTATGGCCTATTGGAAGGTTTCTTTCACTCCCCAGGCTGAAAGTGAAAAGTCTCTTCTCACATCATGCTGCCTCTCAAGCCAAGGAGGAATCTTAGTTATGCCATAGTATAAAACTTCAATTTCAAAACCTGTCAATTTTTTTTCCTGCATCATTTGGATTTCTTTTATTCTGATTCAGTATGAACTCAGAAAAATTTTTACTTTACATACAAACAAATAGAGGTGAAATCAATCTTAAAAAATACTTATACATTCTGTTTGAAAGACACAAAATAATAAAAAAAATAGACTAGCTCCTCTGTCCGCCGTAGACTGCACAGCCATTCCATTCATCATGTGGTAACATGGCAGCTCTTTATTTCCATTGCAACCTGGTTTCAGAATAAGGCCACGAAGATCAACAAACTCATTTGGGGGCCTTTATGTAGAGGGGAAAAAAAAACAAAAAAAAGGGAAAGAAACTCTCAAACCAACCTTAATCTGGGCTGATTGCTGCACTCGGTGAGTCTTTCCTTCTTTTCTCATCCATCCAAGTACTGTCTCTGACAGCTTGTGTCTATAATGCAGCAAGCACTTCTAAGAGAAAACATGCAAATGGTGCCCAAAAGCCTCTCATGACCATAGGTGACAGCTCTGCCCTCTAATAGCTCCCTTCAGTGCTACCCAGCACTCAGGACTGTTACACCCCAGGTACCAACTGTGACCTTTCACAGTCGAGGAGAAGACAGGAAAATGTGTTCCCAAAATTATGGTAGAAACCGCTATTACGCTCTGTTATGAATCTGAGGCCTAATTTTTAACTTTCTATTTTAATGCTCAGGATGTTATTAGGCTGGTCACTCCTGTGTGCATGTCTCAGAATTCAAGCAAAGGTGGGTCCTTATAAGGAAGGTTGAAAGCTCCATACATATATGCACATATATATACACACACATATATCCTGCCAGTATCTTCTGAAGAATCCTAGAAATCTGACTGCAGAAATCTGACAACTCAGCATGTTTTCTGACTGCATAAAATTTCATAATCGCTATCTGGGGAAGTGCAAGTTCAAAGACAAATACATGTATGCTTATTATTGGAAGAATACACAAATTTCCACTCCAGGATTTTTATAAAACTCTTATTAAAAATACCCCTCCCATAAAAAAAACACTCAGGAAATTCATAACCTTTTTTCCACAGTTTTGTATTATCAAATGGTAACAAATCTGGACAAACTTGATAGGAAGTCCTGTGTACAACACTTTTGAAACATAGTTTCATGGCCTTTTTAGGTATGTTTCTGTGCTGTGAGAAAGAAGCCTCACGTGCTCTGTCTCTTCAGCACCGTCATCCATCATTTTGAGACTGGCCTCAAAACCCATCTTTTGAGACATATTCTTGCTCCTGGTGTTAACAAATGCTGGAGCAAAACGGCAGCCCCCTTTAAAACGGATTGCCTTAGCCAGGTTCAACGCTAATGCAATTCCAGAGAGCTGCGGGATGTTTCTGCTCTTGCCTAGACCCAGCCAGCTGGGAGAGTTTAAGGCGCAGAGTTCCTTAACCCCGGGGCTGTCCCGGACCGACCGTGTCCCGCTTCCCTCCCCCCAAATCTGTTTCGAGTCCGGCATAGTCATAGTGATATAAGAACCTCCATTCTGCCTGATGTTCTCTGCTCACCGTCCTTAAACTAATATATTGAACTCTGCCCCTCCAATTTTGTCCCTCCTCCCCCACCCAGTGTTCATAAAGCACTTGTTACCCCCCGTCAGTACTTGCAAAGCACCCCGGTAAACTGCAGGGCAGGAAACTTAGAGCCTTGTGGGGTTTATAAAAGAAGAATGTTTACACGCAGGCGATGTAGTAAAATAAGAAATAAATAAAATAACAGAAAGAGGAGCCAAGGCCATAAAATTTAAGTGCCACAGCCTAGAAAAAAACACTTATTTTTAAAGCGTGCCCGTGTAAAAACAGTGCTACAGCTCCTTTTATTGTGCATGGAGTGGCTCTTAAAGGAGCCTTTG